ACTGCCATCCAGTCAATTTTGACTCAAGTGACCCCTCCTTGGGTTTCTGAGGCGGTATCTCTATGGAATTAGATCACCCAGTCTTCCTTCCAAGGAGTGGCTGGTGGGTTTGAACCATCAGCCTTCTGGTTAGCAGTCAAATGTCAGACCAAATAAATCTCTATATGTCAAAAACCAACTGGGAGTTTTATATATACTTAGATTCTCACTACATTTTCTCTAAATTACTCAGTCATGATTTATTTTACAGTGTTACTTGTGGTTAAGAAAACCATGGGCATGGTCTCCTGTACTGTAAAGCATATGCTCACTTGTAGCCCAGAGCCTCATATATAGTAGTTGCTGAATACATTTTGTTAGATGAATTTCCCTATGCTTTGAAGTACCATTTGTGCCTGAAAAATAACTTGTTTACTTTAAAAAGATTGGGAATGTGCACAGACTATTACAAATAAAACCTTTGTTATAAAAAGAAGTATGTGACCTTAGCAAGAAAAGCATTTTAGTAAAGTGTGTCTAAAGTAATACAGTAATCAGTGAGCTATGATACTTTGTTTGCCATTGATACTTTTTCTTTTGATTAAATTCTTTTACTTGTATTCTTAGGTTAAGACATCAGAATTTTACAGATACTCTCGTCAACTGCGGTGTGAAGTTGAACAAGCATTGAATTACTTTCAGTATGTTCACCAGCAGCCTTTGATGGAAACAAAATCTAGTCGAATTCGTTCTGCCAAACCTCAAACTACAGTATTCCGAGGAATGATTGGACATAGCATGGTAAACAGTAAAATACTACTCTTAAAGAAACCAAGAGTCTGGTGGGAGCTGGAAGGCCCACAAGTACCTCTACGACCAGACTGCCTTGCTATTGTCAATAACTTTGTCTTCTTGTTGGGGGGAGAAGAGCTAGGTTCTGATGGTGAATTTCATGCTTCTTCTAAAGTGTTCAGGTATGACCCAAGACAGAATTCTTGGCTACGAATGGCAGACATGTCTGTTCCACGTTCAGAATTTGCAGTTGGAGTCATTGGAAAATTCATATACGCAGTAGCAGGAAGAACCAGGGACGAGACCTTTTATTCAACAGAGCGATATGACATCACCAATGATAAATGGGAATTTGTAGATCCTTATCCAGTCAACAAATATGGTCATGAGGGGACAGTGCTCAATAACCAGTTGTTTATCACTGGTGGAATCACATCATCTTCCACTTCTAAACAAGTATGTGTCTTTGACCCAAGTAAAGAAGGGACAATAGAACAACGTACTAGGAGAACTCAAGTGGTTACCAACTGCTGGGAGAATAAGAGCAAAATGAATTACGCAAGATGCTTTCACAAGATGATCTCTTACAATGGCAAGCTTTATGTCTTTGGTGGTGTTTGTGTGATCTTGAGGGCCTCTTTTGAATCTCAGGGATGCCCTTCCACAGAAGTGTACAACCCAGAGACTGATCAGTGGACCATCTTGGCATCCATGCCAATTGGTAGAAGTGGCCATGGTGTGACTGTACTGGACAAACAAATAATGGTTCTTGGTGGCCTTTGCTATAATGGCCATTACAGCGATTCTATTCTCACTTTTGATCCTGAAGAAAATAAATGGAAGGAAGATGAATACCCTCGAATGCCATGCAAGCTGGATGGTTTACAAGTATGCAACTTGCATTTTCCTGATTATATACTGGATGAGGTTAGACGTTGTAACTGATGACATCTGCTTCCTTGCTAAAAAAAAAAAAATGGCAAATAAAAGCATTTGTTTGTGATACATAATTAATTACAAATATAATGAAGAAAAACCTCACTAGTTTAATTAACTATCAAAGCCATTGGTCTAATATCGTAAGTTTTCATTTTGTGCTAACATCCTTTTTTTCTTTTTAGTGGCCTCAAAATCATGCAATAAGTTAATTCTAAGCGCTAGCTCTTGAAACTACTTCTAGAAGCAGTTTAATAGAATGATCCACTTATCTGGGAAATTGATTTTAAGCTTTAAGATCTCAGTGTAGGTAAGATTCACAAATCTCCTAAGAAAAGACCTGATAAGTGTCACTGGATGTGATTTCAGTTTCTGTCTTTATCTGAAATCTTTTTGGACATTTATTTCAGTGTATTTCAGTCTGTTAAGCTTTTTTATTTTATTTAAAAGTTTAAAACTGTTGACCTTTTTGCATGGCTTTTTTTGCTGAAAATGCAAAAATACAAATTTTCTACTAAATTAACTTTTTATATTCAAGACACTATTTCTAAGCTGCCTTCTCTTATCCGCATTGTGTTAGTGAAAGCATATCCATACTTGCGTACATCCGACAAATATATAAGGTACATCTTTTATGTGTGGTTAGGATTCTATATTTTTAAGGTAGTGCATTTGCACACAGTTCGCCATACTTGTTGGATTTTAGATGTAACATCTTTTCATGTGTTAATATTTTTCGAAAATTAAAATAACTGGAGTCCTCATTTCATATCAGAGTAGCCTATCTTTAGTCCATACTGACTCAGTAATATTTAAACCCCTTATATTCCTGAAACCTGTATGGATTTAGGAAAACTAACACTTTATGTTTTATTTTCACAAGTAAGCATTAGTGTCCTTTATCATATATCTCTCTTCTTTTTAAAATGTTGTTCTTTGAAGTCTGTTTAACATTGCCCTGTTTTTAGAGAGAATTGGAATGGTATGTGACAAGCTCTGACCCTGCAGTGTGCAAGCACTTTTATAGAGAAGCTAGGTGATATCAAACTCCTAAATAAAGGCTCCATTAAACTTAAGCGCAGCTCCCAGTCTGTACTTAAAATGAGGCTGCTGCATCTGTTATTGATT